GCCGGCTGATTAACAAGTTGGCAGTCAGGGCAGGACGCACACCAGCGGTGCACATCTGCTCGGATGCCCAGCCAATAAAATCTGGCCGTTATTCCCTTCAGAGTTTTTTCATATCTCATATGCCCTGCCATGGGGTTATAATGAGCCGCCTGAAAAATCATTTCCCGGTGGCTCTGCGGCACCAACAACTGGGTGTGTGTCTCCTCTGTGCAAGTGTCATGACTCACTCGATATAACCTATCTTTCAATAACATGAAGCGCGGCTTCAGGGATCACCATGTGACCATCAATCTCAATCACCTGGTCGAAGGCTGAGCATAGGGTGTCATCACGAGACTGCTCCAGTGGGAAATCTCCCGTGGGGGGAATTTCCGGAGCCGGCAGGGCCTCCCATGAAGGACAAGCAGTGCCCCAGGACGAACCAAGCTTCGGTGCACGAGGGTCTGCACACAGCCCGTGTCCACCAAAGCATGGCGTATACCCCCTCGAGTCCTTATGCTATATGTCCCTCCTGGACTGGGAAAGGGTGCTGGGGCACGGGTGACGCGGAACACCTGCCTTACTTTCATCCGAGGACAGTTCCTCTTCAGGCGTCCCGGTTGGCTGCACTTCCAGCATTCCTGCCCCGGCGTCTGTGCCGCTCTCCATGGCTCAGGGGCAGCACTGGTTACCTCCAATCCCTGGGAAGGCACAAAGGAAGTGAATGGGTTAGTGGGGCTCAACACCGGCGCCCACTCTCCCTGTGCAGGCGCAGGTGCCTTGGTGCCGTCACTGGGGCTTGTTTGCTCGGTGTCTGGCTGCCTCCTCCGGGCTCCTCTGCTTTGGCGACGAGATGGTCCTCCACCAGTGTGACCACGATCTCCAGACTCGCGGGTCGGTGGCACCGGACCCATCTTGTCTTCTCCGCTGGCAGCCACTCCATGAACTGCTCCAGCACCACCTTGTCCACCAGCCGGGGGTCCCTGTTGCCCATCCGGTGCATTGCCACAAATAGTGAAGGGGCCTTCAGCGGCACAGTGGCCCCGAACAGCCGCTCCAGAACCTGAGTCTGCCGGTCCGCTTGCTCCTGCAGCTTTGCCAGGTAGACCCGCTGGGCAGACGCCTGGTCTTGGCTCATCTTTGCCATCTCCGCCAGGAACGGCAAAGGCTGGGTAGGTGGCGCAGCATGTGGGTCTGAAACCCCCATGTTTCCTGGGTTTCGGCACCACTTGTAGAATGCAGTCAACACACACACAGTTTGATGCACAGAGATGTGACGTTTATTTGTGACTTTTTGTGCGACAGTTCACAGTCTGGTCAGTGCCAGTCTCAGCTTTTTCAAGCACCCTTCGCTTGTCTTCTGCCTCAATAAAAAATGGAAAATAAAACTGTCATCAGTCCAAACGCCACCAGCTGTGTTCTCATCTGCCTCCCCTGCACCGCCCCGTTGAGCTCACTACACCACTCCTCCCCTGCAGCCAATCCAGGGACCACACCACCACAACATGTCATCTCCATTCATATAAATTATATGATTGCCTGGAATAAAGACCTATCCAACCAATTCTTCAGCCAGACACAGGTGGGAATAGTACAACATTGGAATTCACAATGTCATAGCATCACTAATATTAATGACCAAGTATACTTCTTTATCTGAAGTCATGTAAGAGCTATGTAACCTCAGTTACATAGCTCTTACAGTTAAAAGTTCAGACACAAATACTGATTTAAGAATTGTTATTTATCATCAACAGTGTACAACAAAACTAAAGACATCAGAAATATGAAATAAGACATATTAAATTATATGATTAATACAAAAGTATGAAACATTATTTCACAGTAGCCTGGAACTTTTCCAACAGTATTTAAGGCATTCTTAGAAAAATTAGGGAAGCCTCATAAAATGAATAGATGCAAGTTTCCGACTGATACTGTAGCCTTAGACAGCACATTCTTTTGCATTGTTCATGGAAACAATACAAAACAGATCTGAATTACATCTTAATCGTAAGATGTCCAAACTCCTTTAAAAAAAGTATAACTTTTGATAAATTAACAGAAGAATCACAACAGCGTGTACTCACATGTGCTAAGTTTAGGCTTATGGCATGCTGATGCTGATGGCATAGTGGATTCAGAGGAAGAATTACACAGTGAAGCTGCTTGTGGAGTATTAATGTCAGATTTGTCAAACTAAGAGTTTGAAGAAGAGCTAATAAGTGAATAGAGTTCAGAAGATTTGCTTGACTGTTTGGTGAAATGACAACAAATTGGCAGAGATACAGAATTTGCCAGTATTTGACAGCTGAAGCAAAAGATTTAAGGAGACCATTCAAATCATGTAACTGTTCAAATCATGTAACTGTTTTAGAATAAATTGTTCTTGAAGAAAGTAGTTCCCAATGAGACAGTTAAGTGAATAAGCACAATTATTCTTGTTAGGAGTCAGAAAAGGAAAACTGAAAGAATTAGGAGGAGATATTATGAAGGAGGACTATAGCAGGGTTAGAACACTGATGCCAGAAAGAAAAAATCTCCATTGCCTTCAGAAGGAAGGCAAGAACACCAGAAAGAGCAGGAAACCTTTAAGGATTTCAAGGCAAATAGGTCGATGGGTGGCTCCTCAAAGGAGAGCATGGGTTGGACTTAGGAGCCATGTTCCCTCTAAGCTGCGTGCGCAATCGCACACTGCTGGCATGGTCTCCAATCTGTGTTGCACACACAGAAAAAATCTAACCTGAATTGAAATTAAAATAAATACGTTTTGCAGTGTGCGTCAGTAAGTGACCC